TCATTTGGTTCACTTGTCCCTTTTCTAGCTGGTAACCATTGGTATCTAAGCAGTGATGTGCTAGAACAACTTCTATGTAGGGAAGAAATCCTTGCAGGTGACCTTAGCTTTAAAAGCTGATTTTCTAGTGAGATAGCATAATTTCACATAAATTTAGCACCTAGGCCTGAGAAGTTGTGGCCTCTTACCTCATTTATCATCTCTCAACACTCCTCAAAGAAGGAACTTATCAATTTATCATTCAATGGAGGAAATGAAGTGCCTCTAATATTTGTCACCTATAAGAGCATTTAAAGATAATGCGTTAGCTTTCTGGAAATGTTGGCCATTATCTTACATGTAATTGAAATTCTAATTTATTATTTCCCAAAGTACAACCTTAGTTATAATAGGAGAATGTTTCAGAGATTTTTACCTACAATTGAGGACACATTTATACTGAAATCCATGCTACCCCGGACTCCCACAGATCTTGGCCGGATGTTCCCACCCACAAAATCATAGTTACCCTCAGGGTCAGCCAGGGGTTAAACAGCAGCTTTCTTCTTGACTGTGATCTGCACCCCATTCTGTAAGGACTGGAGGTGAGAGGCACCCTATCCTGCAGCCCCAAATAATTGCCAGAGAATTAAGAGCATATGGTGTCTAGAGTACTGCAAATATTAATTCATAGTGTGACAACCCTATCATTCTGCTGCTCTGTTCAATCAGAAATGAACTCAGTGATCAGTATCATTAAAACAAAATAAAAACTACACACTGGCCAGACAGTGAAGAAATCAAACACATGAAGAAAATGGTTGTAGTTCTTTGAATAAGACACCACTCAAGAAAACCTGGGTCCGATGTCTGGATATAATCCAAATGGTAGCCTGAGTGAGGCTTTGCAGGCCTTCCCAAGTCCTAGTGCACTCACACCCATCTTGTGGACAGAGCAGGGTTGGCCAGATGGCAGACATGCAGGGAATCTGTCCAAATGGCCCCAGATTCTTGATTCTTGGTGTACATGGACTACTGGGAAAAGGAAGAGGGAGGTCTACGGACCTGATCTTAATATTTGTGAGACCTTGGGCAAGAAGTCTACTTACTTACTACTTCTGTAAAAATTTAAAAGTTAAAGATGATAAGCTGGGCCCTCCCTGGTGGCACAGTGGGTTAAAGCACTGCACTAAGAAACTAAAGCCACTTCCACATGAGTTCGATCCCCGCCTGCCCCAGAGGTGATCCATAGGGCGTGGCAGACCTCTCCTGACCTGCCCGCTGCTCCCCTCAGCAGTGTACTTGGATAGTCAGCCTGTTTCTGCTCCCCAGTCTGTCTCTAGTGAATTCTCTCACCGCCCCTACACCTTTGGCCTGTACCCAAGTTCTGTACGCATAAATAAATAAAAATCTTAAAAAAAAAAAAAAAGATGATAAGCTATTCAACAAGATGTGTTCTAGCTTTCTACCTCAGTAAACCTCTCTCTACAAGGATCTGGAGGACCAGGTTCAGATTTGGACTTCTTGAATCCTAGGATGCTGCCCATGAATGTGGTGCCAGCATAGGCACTTCCCTCCCTGCACTTGGTTTGTCACACATGGAAAAGAGCACCCAGCCCATGTGTGGAGATACCTCAAAGTGCATCTGTGCTCTGGTGCCCCTGAAGCAGCCATCCATGGCCACTCACAGGCCTCCAGACTGCAGCATCAGCTACTGTCTGCCTTGGGGAGAGCAGGTCCAGGGAAGATGCTCGTACCACCTTGGAAATGCACTTAGGGCTGTTTAGGGAGGGAATTCCCAGTGGTTAGAGTACAGACTGCATGGGCTGAGGACTCCACATGAGCCCACCCATGCACCTTGAGGATTCATCACTCTGAGAGCAGGGTGATCTCCAGAAGATAGAGTAGAACTGTCTAAATGGAGAGCCCATAGCTGTCTAAGTGGGGGATACCTGGCTGTAGTCTTGGACCATAGTGGAAACATGCTAAGCCTTTCCCCCCATCACTTTTATCCCTTTCATGCCACTCTCCATGTTCCAAGCAGGCAGTTCACAGAGAAAAATTCGTCCTGTGTCTCTGTGTAAGTCACATGTAGTTATCACTGGCCTCACATCTTTTAGATCCACTGTGGAGAGCAGCAAAAGTACCTTAAATCTACAAGGACTTGTTTCCCTTCACATCTCTTTGCAGTTATGGAAGTGTTGGCAGAAACTCAGGTGGGATTTCCATGCTCTAACTCTGAAATGATAAAGTTGATCTCAAGGTGAAGTTCAGAATTCACAGCAGAAACTCAGACCATCCTCCCAAATACTGGCCTGTGCGCACTGTTTGAGCAGCTTGCAATCGTGAGGCATTAGGTACAGCAAAGGCTGTGAGTCTTACAACACCCAAGAAGCTTTTGCTTTAGGGATCTGAAAGTCAGGTTCTCTACAACACTATCTCCTTAAAAAAGTAGTACCTTTAAAATATTTAACAAGTCGAAAAGGAAACCAAGCTTGAATTTTCCTTTCAAACATTCAGGAAATACAGTATTTTACTTCTGTCTGAAACTTAACATCCTCTCAGACAAAGAAGGCTCTTACAGTAAAAGCAATGGCATTTTCTCTACAATTTTCAAATAAACGATCAAGAGAGAACAGAATTGTGGTCTTTTTGTTGGCGCTAACAATAAAGGAATAATATGGTTTTGCCAAGGGAGAGCACTGGTTTTAAGTTCAGAATATAAAAATAGGCTGACAAATTTTACAAAGGAGTGTTCTCAACTGCTGCTCCAAGTCTGCCAGGAAGCAAAGTGTCGAGAACATGATATCATTTGATTATTTGGCAGGTGTTGTAAAAGGAGGATCAAACTGATGGGCCAGTCCCAGGCAAAATTCTACAGGAGAAAAAATGTGATTTCTCTTTTCACACTCACCCCTGCTTCCACTTCCAGCTCGGTCCACGTGATCAAGTCTCCATCCCTGCAGCAACCCCAACCAAGTCATTGGAAAAGGAATGAGAACCCTCATTTGCATTGTAGCTCCTCCTACCTGGAACACTCTCCCTCCCCCACATCCTGTGCCCCTCTGCTAAGCTAACATTTCCTAGAGCTATTTCCCAGGAAACTCCTGTGAAGCTGCTGTCACTTTCAGCATAGATGCCTGTACCTTGCTTACTGTTCAGACTCCCTGTGACTGACTTATGGTTGCGTTATCTGTGTGTCCTCCCTGATTTTTCTGTTAGAGCAGATACCACATGCCTTTCCTTTCATGTTTAAACTTTCATTATGTGTATAATAAGTCTAATTGAATAAGTGACAGAGTGAATTAATAAATAGGAACTTAAGTCACTTGTTGCTGCTCCCAAGATATTTAAATTAATTGTAAGTGAAAAGCAAAATGCACTAGCCTTCCTAAAGGAGTCATAAACCTAATGGGAGTATATTCAGAGGAACAAAACACTGTTTGGGTTGCCTGTCTGGTGCAGTCAGGTTTCCTTCATTGGGGGTGGCTTAAATAAGAAAGTATGCTAAGCACTTGCAAGAGAAATAGAATACATTAAAACCATAGGAATAGCTATTAATTAAGCATATATATCTAGGAGTAGATATATATGCGTTTCTGCTCCTTTAAATGTTAACCAGGTTTCATCTCTATTATCTACATTTTGTAGATGAGAAAAGAGAGACCTGGAGATTAAAGTTGCTTAATTTCACATAATATGTGAAAGAATCAGGATTTGGACCTAATCTGGCTTGCCATAAGTCAGACAACTGTCTCAGCAAGTTGCCTCATAACTGACTGTCACTGTGGAAGCCCTGCAAGTCCTGGCCTCCCCTGTGCGCCGGACCCTGTGACTCTTGCCGCCTGTCTTGGCCTCTGTGCCTACCACTTCCCTCGGGTCTCCTGCTCCTCATTCTCAGGGAGAGAGGCTTCATCAGAGTTTACAGCCTGGAGTCCCCCTGCCGAGCAGAGACCCAGCCCAAACCACAGCTGCACCTGGTCAAGATTAGATTATGTACGTGAGAGACAATAGGAAAAATAATACTAACAGATCAGCCCAAATGATGCTTATTTTTCTCTCACACATAAATCTAAGTTTGAACCACTCAACCCAGGTTGGTCTAGTGGTCCTGGGTAGCAGGATCCAAATTCCTCCTTTCCTGTTTTTCTGTTGTATGTGGTTTTACTTTCAGAAACCAAAATTTCTGCTGGACCTTGAGGCATTGTGCCCTTGATTCAGTCATGGCCAGAAGAGATAATAAGAGCAGCCTCCTAGTACATGCATATCATTGCTCTTCAAATAATGACATTTTGTTTTAAACTTGAAGAGAAAAATAGAATCCTAGTCAAACATTGAACTAAACAGCTTCAGTCAAAGACCAGCTTTTATTAAAGTTTCCAAGAACCTATCATGACCTTTGATGAGGACTTCCTGTACCTCTAGGCAGCTCTCCTATCTCTAAACCCCAGTCTATAGCCTTTTTTTTGTATGTATTTTTAAGGCAGTCACACGCCCTTGTAAAATTTCTGAGTTCTGCTACAAACAAGAACAGATTCACCCTCCATATGCCCTCTTATCCATAGCTTTGTTTGCTCAGCGACTCCTCTGTGTGGCTGTGGCCAGGCAGAACTGGCCAATGTGGAGAGTCCAGCAGGCACTTCAAGAGGCGGTTGTATGACAGGCTCTGTGCTTCATGGCCTGTGAAATACAGAGAAGCCATCTTACTTGAACATGTCACAACAGTCGGATTGCTCTGCAGTCCGTTCCACCATTAGTCTGTTAAGATACCTGGCAATTAACCTACTCATCAAGCAAAGAGGAACTGTCTTTGTAAGATCAGCTTGACTCCACCCTCCTAATCCAAACATTGTCACCCATGGGGTGGGGAATCAGGCCCTTCATTACAAATTTCAAATGATATAATTTTGTAAAGAATGCAAGTAGGGATGGTGGCAAACTGCTTAAATTTGCACACGACTCTCTTTCCTGCCCTTTACAATCAGTAAATTTGACCCCAAATATTATGCCTTCTCTTACAGGATCTTGTGGCTGTCTTGTCATGATCTTGTTCGCCTCTGAAGTGAAAATCCACCGTCTCACAGAAAAAATTGCAAATTATAAAGAGGGGACTTATGCTTACAAAACACAAAGTGAAAAGTACACCACATCATTCTGGGTCATTTTCATTTGCTTTTTTGTTCATTTTCTGAATGGCCTCCTTATCCGACTTGCTGGATTTCAATTCCCTTTTGCAAAATCGAAAGATACAGAGACAACCAATGCAGCTGCAGATCTGATGTACTGAAAGGCAAACAATTCTGTCATTTTCCAAGTATGGGAGTGAACTTGCTGTGGTCACCTGAATTTGGCTATCTCTTTAGAGGCACAAATTAAAGTGTTTGCCCCCCATGGTAATGTTTACAAATTATACCCTAAGAATACTTACAGGTTGGAAAGTACGAGAAGCAGAAGGAAGACTCCCAAAGGTTGTGTTCCCTGGTGCAAAACTGCTTCACCCAGAGAGTGGAGAAGTTGACAAGGTGTTAATTCATACACATAATCAAAATGCTCCATCAAGGAGGACTCTAAAGGCATGTGGAATATGTTTTAATGTAAAACAAATACTGTTTCTGATATTCACACAGAAAACAGCTGGAATCACTTCCCTAATGTGCTAGGGCATTAAGAGAGCATCAACAGAATGGATAGGTATATGTATGTTTTAAAAAAGTTTATTTAAATCACAGAGTACTTATTCATGCCTGTTGGTCAAAACCTGCATATTTGCAAAAGAAAAAAACCCACAGTACTTTCAGTAGTCAGAACCGGGGGACTGGACCATTGAGAAGTCAAGAAAAGTCACTCTTTTTAGTAAACTTGATGCAACTATAACTCACTGGGACTATTCTAATGTTATTGTCTCAAGTACTAATTCTTTTTTTTTATAAAGATTTATTTATTTGTTCATACAGAACTGGGGTAGAGGCCAGAGGCTCAGGGGCAGTGAGAAGCTTCACCAGAGACAGAGTGGGGATCAGAACAGGCAGATCGACGAAGTACACTGCTGAGGGGAGCAGCGGGCGGGTCAGGAGAGGTCTGCCACGCCATGTGGTCACCTCCGGGGAAGGCGGGAATCGAACTCATGCGGAAGTGGTTTTAGCTTCTCAGTGCTGTGCTTTAACCTGCTGCGCCACCAGGGAGGGCCTCAAGTACTAATTCTTAACTGTGGAAATGATATTACATTCTGGAATAATGATGATATCACTGTGCCATCCTGGGGGTTGGGATGGCTATCACAAACATGCTCCAGTTTGCTTAGAATTACCTGTGACCAGAGGCCACCGCTAAGGCAGGAACTGACACTCCCTCAATCTTCTACCTGCCATCCTGAAGAAAGTGTTCAGGAAGAAGCACAAAGTGTAACAGACACAACATCAGGCTTCCACCACAGTGGCCTGGTACTTAGTCCCCAAGCAAGGATTTTGGAAGAAAGTGTTCAGGAAGAAGCACAAAGTGCAACAGACACAACATCAGGCTCCCACCACAGTGGCCTGGATTTTGGAAGTGCTCATTGAACCCAAATTATTTTTGGAACAATTTGAGTAAAACAAATAACCTGCTGGTATACCTGAGAATATCTTGCTTTGTTGGGGATTTGTAGCCCACAGCTGGCATCAGAACAAACCCTTAGTTTTCATTTGCTATTCCCTGATTCTTCTTTCAGAAATTCCTGGAAAATTTCTAGATGACCACAAGTCAGTTTAGTGGTGAAGGGTTGTTTATTTTGGTCATGGGCTACACTAGCTCAGTTCTGGAAATCTTCAGCTGAAATGGTTAAATACAGAAGTATGGGTAAATAGGAAGGGGCAAGAAAAGCACAAGGACCACCACTGTCACCACCATGGGTAAATGGTCTGAAATTCCAGAAGTTCTTCATACTCATTTGACCTGATTCTTTTTGCAAGATTTGTAAGACTCTCAAAAGCAAGCTTTCTTCTTTAGAGAACAAGTCTCCAGTTGTTCTGTGTTCTGTAAAAAGAGATAACTTGCAGTTATAGCTGAAAATCTAGTAAGAACCTAGTAGGGAAACTTAACTGTATTCCTTCTGTGTGAAGTATGGGTGGGGCTGCTGGTCCCTGCAATTGTGTCACACACAAAAACAGAAAGTGCAATCTGGACCCATGCAAGAGCACACTTTTCAGATGAATTGTGTGGGCATGGTGGCCCAAGATTGCCCTTAAAAGAAGGATGAGGCCAGGACACCCTCTTGAAGCACTTTCCATGGGGATCACAGCCCCCATTTAAAGACTTTGCTTATATCGAGCCCAGTCTCACTCTCCAGGTGGCAGCTGGAATCTCTCCTTGGAGACACAGGGCCCCCTGCTGGCTCTGGGGCAGCAAAAACAAGGTGCTCCTCCCCTGTCTGCAGCAGCTGCCCTAGGCTTCAGGGCTGACAGTGAGCATTCACTGTGCTGAGAGGAACACCGGGAAAAGCATCTAGGAAATCCACCCCAAGTCCTTCAAGGTAACCCCTGCAGTGGCCATGCAGGACACAGTTGCTAGGAGGGAGCTTCAGAGCTAGACACACACAGATGTGAGGTCACAAAGGGGGAAGTCTGTGCTCCATGCTGCTGGCCAAGGTCTGCTCAGGTGTACCGTCAGCTGGCACGTCGCTTCACAGGCATGGAAAGTGAGGCTCAGGAAAGTGGCTCAGGCAAGTCCTCTTCTAGTCCGTGCATTTGCAAGGAGATAGTCATGAGAGCAGGGGTGGGGGACTGTCCCCTTCCAGCTTTGGTGGAGGAAGGGTTCACATTGACACATTAGGTATACTGACTTCCAGGGAAATGGGCTTGTTACTAACTTTGTCTCAACCATTTACTGTAGAAACCTGAACAAGACCCAAGGAGAGAGTCTGGGGAGGGGGTAGAGGCTACAGAGAACCAGGAGCTTTAATTTTTTCTCTCAACTTTCCTCAGCCTCTCTCCTTCCAATAAGATTAATACAGGTAGTCACAGAAATGCTGCCTGAACCACCCACCTCGGGTTCCCACCTGCCTCGTTGCCCCTTCCCTTCTATTTCAGTGTACGGGACCCCGTGCCCCTGGCTGCTCACTGCCAGATGTGGTGATGTGCTGGCCCTCAGGCTCCTCCATCCTGGCCATGGCTCAGGGCTCCCAGCCGGTGGCAGTTCATGCCTCCTCCCACAAGTGACAGTGGACACAGCCGCACTATCAGTTTTGAGGAAAGGATACCCGCCCTTGCAACTAAAGGGCAGAGGGACTGCATGGTCCTGAGGCCTAGGCTACAGGATGAAGTTCCCGGTTTAGGGAAGTCTCCTGGTGCATAAGAATACTGGTGACCCAGAAACTGATACTTGACATACAGACCTTTAGTCCCTGCACTACACACTGACATGTGTCACAGACACAGCTGGGATTCACTGTCCTGTTTGGAAGTTTGAATGAGTCTGAGGCTCACTGGATGACCCTAGTTGGATATCTCCCAGGGAACACTCAAGGGTATTCCCTGCAGGCCTAGTGGGTAGCCTCTGGGGGTGATAAGTAGGGAGAGCTCTGTTGCTATGACAGCCACCCAAAGATTAAAAGACAAGTCTTATATTTCTTTGCTGGAAACTTGATCTGAGGGTTTTGAACCAATTGTTTATTTATTTTTTTTAAGATTTATTTTATTTATGCATACAAGAGCTAGGTGTAGGTCACAGGGGAGGGAGGTGAGAAGATTCAGCAGGGACAGAGTGGAGAGCAGGACAGGTAGATCTACTGAAATACACTGTTGATGGGAGCAGCGGGCAAGACAGGGGAAGTTTGGTGGGCCATGTGGGTCACCTCCCTATCCAGGGATTAAACCCTTGCTTCAGTGACTGCGGATAGCTTCATAGTACTGGGACTTGTCCCCTTGCACCACCAGAGAGACCTGATTTGAACCAGTTCTGAAAGGAAACAGAAAGTTGGCAAGTACATGTGTTCCACACTCAGCAAAAACTCTAGCCACTGTAAGCTATGAATCTAATTCTCCAGGAAAATGAGATTCAGAAGCTCCTTAAATTGTGCCCTCTTTCCCCCAATCCAGCTGGAAAGAGGGTACATGGAGTAGCTGCTCAAAGCCCTAGCAATTAATACACCCTACCAGAAACAGGCAGCCACAGTGCAGGTAGTGTTATTCTACTTTCACAGACCCTGTAGGTTCCAATTTGTCATGAACTTGCCTTATGCAAAAAAGTGAGCGGTATCTGGGGTATGCATTGCAACATGCCACAGCTCTCTAACATATCCTTACATCGTCTCTTTCTTTTTAGCCAAGTAAAATGAGGCTGACTTCAGTTAGAGTAGATGGTATTTATTGCACCTGGGACCCTAAGAGAATTGGTATATACAATTGTATTTGCCACAGCTCCCGTCACCGTGATCCTTTACTGTCACGCTTCCCTCACTCTCTGTGGCAGATGATGCTGCGCTTTGCCTGCCACATTTTTCTTAAGCACAAACTAACCTCTTACATTTCTTAGCTTCCTCAGCATCTGGATCTTGTAAATGAGTTTGCACCACTGGGATTCGTTTGAGAAAACTAACCAAATCCATGTATGTTCAAGGCCTGGCCCTGTGTTATAGCCCATGCAATCCTTCTGCTATATCTTCCCTTGCTTCTTGCAGCCCTAGAGGTCATGCTATCCAGATGATGAGGCTACGAGGCTTCTCTACCTGCAATCAAGTATGAAAAGAGTAATAAATAAAAATTTGCTGTTAAAACCATTGCTTTTGGGAGGTTATTGGTTACTATAGTTTAGCCTAGGCTACAAGGTCCTCTTCTCCAGGACCTTTGTGCCAGTGAGCCACTTCTCTAAGTCTCTTGGGGTACAGCCTGAGGCTAGATGCCCCCTTATACCATGTTGGAACTGTTACCTGTACCACTGATCTTGATGCCATGACGCCTGATTACATCACTATCCCCTGATGAAATGAAGATCAGAAATAAATTTTTTGCACAAATATCTAAGGCAAATAAACACTTTTACAGATGCTAGTCTACTTCCAGATTCTTTCCTAATGGCAATTAATGAAGCTTTTTTCATTAATTCCAAAATTTTTTATTTGTTTAGGATTTATTTATTCATGCATACAAGAATTACTGTAAAGCCAGAGGTGGGGAGGTGAGAGAAGTTACAGGAGACAGAGTAGGGAGCAGAACAGACAGATCTAATGAAATACACTGCTGAGGGGAGCAGCAGACCAGATAGGAGAGGGTCTGCTCCACCATGTTGGTCATCTCTGGTCAACTGGTGATCACGCACGTGCTGGTAATAGCTTGGTAGGGCTCTGTCTTTAACTGCTGCCCACCAGG